CATATATGTTGTTGTTAGGTGCCATAGAGCCAATTCCAATTTACAGCAACCCTATATAGGGTTTTTGATGCTATGAATCTTTGGTGGTGGTGGTGGTGGTGGTGATGTGACCCTGTACAGGGTATGAATCTTTACAGGAGCAGAAAGCTTCATCTTTCTTTTGATGGAGAGAGGCTGGTGGGTTTGAATGACCTTGCAGTAGCAGTCCAGTCCTTGTCATACAGTGCCATTAGAGCTATGTGTTATATAAAGTAATTAGGTAAAAAGTTTGATAGATACATATAAAAACTTATAGATTAAACATTGCTAAGAATTTTAAAGTAGGGTTCTAAATATGCCTTTATATATGAGGGAGCTTCAAAAAGTTTGTGGAAAATGGAATAGAAAGATAATGGAATTTATCCAAGAACTTTTTGAAACTCCCTGAAATACCTTCTCTGAGAATTGCTTTCATTATTTTTTGCATTTCATTTTAAAAAGTGTTTTGGATCTCTTTGTATATGCAGTTGACTCTTGAATGAGACAGAGGTTAGGGGCACCAACCTCCTGGGCATTGGAAAATATGAGTATAACTTTTTACTTCCCCAAAATATAACTGATAGCCTCCTTTTGACCAGAACATTACTGATAGCATAAACAGCCATAAACACATATTTTATTTATTAATGGATTATGTACTGTGCTTTCAGTAGAGGATGAAAAGGCATTTTGCAAAACGTGCAAGATTTTTGTGCCTACTAGTGTAACTGGCATAGCTGCTACAACAACTTCATAAATTTCCTTTTATTTTTTATAATAGTCCTTATTCTGGTTCTGTTTATCTTAAAATGGTGGACAATCACAGCTAAATACCTCAATTTACATTCCATGTCAAACAATTCAGTGTTTTCTTCTAATGTCATGACTTTTTCTGCTTCTTAGGAGTACTTCTAGCATAACTAATGTACTTGGTATGGATCACGTGGTGTTATTCAAGGTCTACAGTATCCCACTGAACACCATGGAAACTAGGCCAGAACCATGAGAGATTACTTTTGACTGTGATACACAGTTTACAGGAGAGATGAATTGCTTATGCAGAGATAATTAAGGTCACTAGGCATTAAAAAAAAAACCCACATATAAGTGAGCCTGCACAATTCAAACCCATGTTGTTCAAGGGTCACAACTATATTTCTGTTCATGATTTTTATTTTTCCTACTTTCATATTAGCAGTAATTAGGAAATACCTGAATTATCATAATTTGACAAAGATATAAAAAAATCTATTTTTTTCTCTTTTAAGCCAGGTGTACATGGCTGACTTAAGTTGGAAAGCATTTTATTGCTTATGTATTTAAATGGCCCTTGTACTCTCCAAACATAAAAGGTAATAGGAATATAGAGTAAAGAGTAATTTTAGAATTTCCAAAAACAGAGATATGTAGAGTATGGAGACTCTGCTGTTTAGAATTCTTGTAGGTTTGTTAGTTACCTACTGCCCTGGTTTGTTTGTAGTGTGGTAATGTTCTGTTTTTCACCTACAAGTGAACTGAGGGTATACTTTTAAATCCTCTGCACTTGAGGTTCTTTTCTGTTAGGCCCAAAGAATCAAAAATCTTTTGTGTTCCCACATCCCTCTTCCCACCAAACCCTACAACAACAAGCCTACCTCCCATTACTTTTACAGGAATGGGTTCCCTCGAAGAGTCAGTGCTAATGCCCATTTCTGAGTCATAGCAGGTTTGAAGGTTGAGTAGGAGGTGCTGAAAGTAAAATACCTAGGAGGTGCATCTCAACAGAAGCTGGTTCAGATTATTTTTGGAGCACACAATTTGCCTGAGCTATACAGAACCATTCTTTTTGACACCTCAGAGAGTTTTCATAAAACCACCAATTCTGATGCCTTAATTGAAATACACTGCCCAGACTTTTCTTTTGGAGGCGTGTGTGTGGGGAGGGGTGTTTGTTTATTTTGCCAAAATTTCATAAGCCAAATGTAAACTTTTGATCCCTGTAAGTTTATGAGGATAAATTTATTTTAAATTATTTTCTGTAACAAATGAGCCATTACTACTAAGACAAGATTTCGTTTAACTTTATATTATTTTTTATAAATAGATAGTTCAATACTTTAAAAGTGGCAGATGGTTTAAATAGAATAATAAATTGTCAAACAGTTACATAAGGAAAAGATTTTGTACCTAAGGGCGTGGTTATTTTTCTTCTTTTACTATTTGAGGTCAGTTTTTTTTTGCTTTCCATAACTTATGCTTATACAAAGTGTATCTCATTATTTGCAAGACTAATTTCTATTTATTTATTTCTTGTAGCTGTTTTTATACCAAATTTTACGTGGTTTGGCATATTGCCACCGAAGAAAGGTGTTGCACCGAGACTTGAAACCACAGAACCTCCTCATTAATGAAAAGGGAGAGTTAAAGCTAGCAGATTTTGGTATGTGAGATATATAAAAATACTCTCAGGGTGATTAAGTTATTTAAAAAAAAAAAAAGATTGTCACAGTGTGTCGTCACATTTAATAGTACCATTTATGGGTTTAGAAATTTTTTCTGAAGCCCACAGAGAAAGGTATGTGACAGATCTTTGGTGGGTGAGTTAATGTTTGTGATCCTCAGCTTCTTATTAGTAGGAAATACAAAAAGTGCTGGTTCTCAGGGTGTGACCTAGGTGTACTGAGATCTCTCAGGGGGTCTCCAAAGCAAATTACATTATCATACTTACTGTTGTTGTTAGTGCGGTCAAGTCGGTTCCGACTCACAGTGACCTTGTATGAGGTTTCCAAAGAGCAGCTGGTGAATTTGAACTGCTGACCCTGTGGTTCATACTAACCTTGCAGTCCAGTGCTTTATCCCACAGTGCCACACCACATAATTTGCTTTGCCTTTTTCACTGTATTAATATTTGCACTGATGTTCTATAAGTGATAAGGGAGAAAGCTTTTGGTGCCACAGTAGGAATCAAGGCAGTGGCACAGCACTATACTTCATAGTCATTGTCTTCTTCACCACCTACACTTACAGGAATAGAGTGCTGATTACACTTTAAAAGGTTCTTGATGAAGTAGTTTAATTTGTTAATTTTAATCTCCATCCCTGAGTCTTTTTAGTATTCTGTGTGGTGAAATGGGAAGGTCTATTAAACATGTTTGCTGCACGTAGTACTGTAGTTATCTCAAGGAAAAGTATTTGAGTGCAAGCTGAACCAGCCCTTTTTTATTTCTCATGATGCATCAGTTTCACTAGGGGAATAAAAAAGACCAACAATCTATAGTTACTCAGACTTGGATACTTGGCAGACATATAATTGAAAGTAAAAGAAGTAAGCCTGACATTTCAAGGAAAACAACTGAAATTGTTTCTTTCCAATAGTAAAATTAGATTTCTCAGGCAAAAATTCGGTTTTGAAAATTTGCATCTGCCACTTGAGTTGTTAGTTTCCCAAGACTAATTTTTCTGACTAATCAGTCTGCCTAACTGTGGGAATCAATAGTTTTCAAATGATCAGTACATGATATTGTAAAATCATGCCTGGGTAAAAGATCCATTCAAAGTGCAAGATACACCAAAGGATTTTAATATAACAGAGGATGAAAAATACATTGATAATAATTATAGTCACCACATAACAGTTAAGAATCTAACTTGTTTCAAGTTCTGAAGTAGTATCTATGAAGACTATCTATAATTACCTGGAAAATCTATTAAAATGCTTCTCAACTTTTCAAGGTCATATCTTTGGAAGTCTGATTTTCTTCATTTACTTCACCCACAGTGATATATCACAAAAGATTGTATGCTGAAACAAATATGACCATCCAGCTGTTTTTTATTAAGCTAGAGTTTAAAAAAA